GTTTCCAAGATTACAAAACGTAACGCCCCCTTAATGTTTGCGTAACCAAGATTATGTTTTTTTTAATTAAATTATGTAAACTATCCCATTAAGTTAAATTATTTTTTTTAATTAAACTTAATGACATTGCTAGCAAAACATTCAAATCGATGTTAATGTCATGCGACCTTGGTGTAGTTCCTTTACAGCCCACATTTAGATTTTTTACTTCAAGCAATTGTGTTTAGACTTGTTCATTTTCTGAATATTATCTTGATGAGAAAAGCCATGGAAGGATCCTAAATTGTGTGAGTCACAGAGCTTATTTTGTGCAATAACCCAAAAGCCAATGGAAAAATCCTAATGTGTTTTTGTCAAGGGAACCTAGGTGATGCGAACCTCAGGGCTGGCCTTAAAAAACATGTCATCCCTGCAGCACCCGATACACATTAAAAATAGAGGTTCCAAAAGTTGTTTTTTTGCATCGATGCCATAGAAGAACCATTTTTGGTTCCCCAAAGAACCTTTCAGTGAACAGTTCCTAAAAAAAAACCTTTTTCCCACTATAAAGAAAAGTTGTGTAATGGAAAGTTGTTACCACCATCAATGGCAATAAAGAACCTTTATTTTTAAGAGTGGATTATAAACACAGTCACTAACACTGACATCTCCCGTCTTCCTCTTTCAGAAACACAGTGGCATGGTTGATGAGGTTTTCTGTGTGAGAGAGATGACTGCTGCGAAACATCTGCGAAGGAATCAGGCTGTTGTGTGTGTGAGTGTGCGTTTGAGTCATATGCAGGTTCTCTTGGCGTGTAGCATTTCTATGAGGAGGTTGTTGCAGGGCACCTCTCCGCTCAGGTGTTTGTAGCACAGGTAGTCTTCGCCTTGCGCGCTCAGCGCTCTGAGCTCGGGAAGGCGTAGCAGGATCTGGCTAAACCTGTCCGGGAATTGAGGGTAAGCGTACAGTGTGTACTCCAACAGCGCGGCGTTCACCTGCTCGTACACGCTCTCGACGTAAGGCTGGTTTTCCAACAGTTTCACGTCTGTGGAGTGAGAGATGCACCGATAGAGTCTCATTAAAGACGCATGAGTGGAAAATGGGTTTTCAAGCACTTTCTGAACGCACACACACACATGCACACAGCTCTCAGGCACTCTTATTATGAAAAGCAGCTTTTGTTGGAGCTAAATTGCTCTCACTTAAGGGAACGTGGACAATAAAGGAGCATTTTCTCCTGAAGCTGAGAAAGAGAGGGCCACGGTAGCATGGACCAATATGGGGTCAATCCATTAAACTTCTTTTGAGCCGGAGTCTCGCTCTAGACGGTGTGTGTGTGCGTCTGCGAGTGGATAGTGGTCCGGCTCCCTGCCTTTGTAAACAGGAGCGATTCAGAAGGCTTTCATTTTAATTAAGACCATTACCCAGTTAGCACACGGCCCACGCCACACAAAACACGCTGCCACTCACAACAAATAGCTCGATACACTCGCGTCCTCGTTAGCGTGGATCAAAATCAATGCAATATTCGTCTTTTGAGAAGTTAATTAGCCTCGGTCAAGCCCCAGCGGGGGAAACATATATGCTCAATACGACACGGAGGACAGGGTGACGGTGCCACCGCGGTGGCTATAAAAATGTATTTTATATTCAACTATTAAAACATCAGCAGAAGCGTTGAACGGAGAGAGAGAGAGAGACAAAGAAAGAGAGGAAATTTCCCACCTCTTCCACAATGATGCGAAGGCTCTTAAAGGAGTTAGTTAAGAAGCAAAACTTGAGCGGAACTTTTTAAAGCGAAACATTATTCAAAGACCAAAAGACGTGCATAGATGAATAGTTATCGTTTTTTAAGACTCAGTCAAGGTTAATAAAAAAAGTCTTGAATTGAGTCATATCATGGGCTACGGGTTTTTGGTCTTTTGAAATTATAATAAAAAGCTGCTCAATGGACAGTTACTATGCAAATCTTACTCCCCAATGATTTATGGAAAATAAGCAGGTAAAATCATCTTGGTTATGATGCCACAACTATGAGCACATTAATACACTACTACTGTTCAAAAGTTTGTTAATCTTTAAAGACATTTATTCAGCAAGGACACATTCAATTGATCAAAAGTGACGGTAAAGACATTTAAAGGCATAGTTCACCCAAAAATGAAAATTCTGTCAGTATTTACTCACCCTCATGTCTTTCCAACCCCGTAAGACCTTCGTTCGTCTTCAGAACACAAATTAAGATATTTTTGATGAAATCTGAGAGCTGGATCACTCCTGCATACTAGTCCATAGGTTTCTTGAGGAATTGAAACTTGCTGGCCTTGAAAAGTTATTAAAGATTTGTCAAAATAGTCCAAGTGACTTCAGTGGCTCAATCTTAACTTTATCAAGCGACGAGAATACTTTTTGTGCGCAAAACAAACAAAAATAACGACTTTATTTCAACTATTCACTTCCTTCTCTATGAGCCTCTAGTCAGTTAACGTAGTGTGATTGCGTAGAGCTACGTCACACGTAGGCTCACTATTGGCCGACGCTGGTCATGTGTGTGATGGGTGTGACGTACAACAACAGAAACTTACGCTATTAAACTAGTAACCTGACTCGAGCCAGAGAGAGAAGTAAACGAATAGTTGAAATAAAGTAGTTATTTTTGTTTATTTTTGAGCACAAAAAGTATTCTCGTTGTTTGATAAAGTTAAGATTGAGCCAATAGTCACTTGGACTATTTTAACGATGTCTTTAATAACTTTTTGAGGCCAGCAAGTTTCAATTCCTCAAGAAGCCTATATGGACTAGTATGGAGGAGTGATCCAGCACTAAGATTTCATCAAAAATATCTTAATTTGTGTTCCGAAGATGAACGAAGGTCTTACGGGGTTGGAAAGACATGAGGGTGAGTAAATACTGATAGAATTTTCATTTTTGGGTGAACTAACCCTTTAATGTTACATAGGATTTCTATATCTAATACTGTTATTTTAAACTTTCTATTTATCAAAGAATCCTGGTGTCAAAAAAAGGTGTCACGGTTTCCAAAAATGAAGCAGCACAACTGTTTTCAACATTGATAATAATTGGAAATGTTGGTTGAGCTGCAAATCGGCATATTAGAATGATTTCTGAGGGATCATGTGACACTGAAGACGGGAGTAATGATGCTTTCTCAATTCCCATCACAGGAATAAATTACATTTTAAAATCTTAAAAATATAAAATAAAACTTAATAGTAAAAAAAAATATTTCACAATATTACACTTCTGTATTTTCGAAGAAATAAATGCAGTCTTGATGAGCATAAATGACTACTTAAAAAAATATATATATTTGTAAAAAATCCCCAAACTTTTGAACAGTGTCCACACACACACAGAGCAGTTCAGCAGTTTTCATGCAAAGACGTCAGCCAATCACATCAAAGCTACAGTAATAGCACGTTCTGTCTCACCTGGGTTAAAGAGGATGAGGTATTTGAGACAGGCGGTTTCTCTGCGGTCCAGCTGAAGCTCTTGTAGACGATGCACCAGCTCCTGACCTCTCTGTATCATCCCGCTCAGAGTGACCCCTGCCTGGGCCAGTAAAGACGCCAGCTCAACCTGACCCACACACACACATGCATCAATTGAGAGGATCCAATGCACAGATGTACATATATATATATATATATATATATATATATATATATATATATATATATATATATATATATATATTGTGTATGTGCATGTGTGTGCGCGTGTGTTACCTCCTGTCCAGTGATGAGAAGCACACTGTCCTCTTTCCCATGATGCAACTGTCTGGCAATGTAGTCCAGCACAAGAAGCTCACTCCAGCAGTTATGCAGCAACTTCATCTGATCTCCCACCTGTGAAGCAGAGAGAAAGTGAAATAATAAATGAAAATGGACATGAAATGTACAAATATTTGTGTAAATATGCATTTGCATTATGTATGTAGATTTTTACAATCTAAAAATTATTATTTATGGAAATATAATTGCTCAGATGCTTCATAGATTCTATACGTAATGGCTACAAATCTCTAAAAACGTAGTTATATTTATTGATATGTATTATTATGTTTTCATTTTATTTCATCACTGTAAAAGATATTGTTGGTTTCACTTAAAAAAGTAAGTTACCATGGTTGCCTTAAAGGGATAGTTCACCCAAAAATGAAAATTCTGTCAGTATTTACTCACCCTCATGTTGTTCCAACCCCTTAAGATCTTCGTTCATCTTCAGAACACAAATTAAGATATTTTTGATAAAATCTGAGAGCTGGATCAATCCTCCATACTATGGGCTTCTTGAGGAATTGAAACTTGCCGGCCTCAAAAAGTTATTAAAGACATTGTTAAAATAGTCCAAGTGACAACAGTGGCTCAATCTTAACTTTATCAAGTGACGAGAATACTTTTTGTGCGCAAAAACAAACAAAAAGTGTTCTTGTCATTTGATAAACTTAAGATTGAGCCACTGAAGTCACTTGGACTATTTTAACGATGTCTTTATTAACTTTTCGAGGCCAGCAAGTTTCAATCCCTCAAGAAGCCATGGACAAGTACTAAGGAGTGATCCAGCTCTCAGATTTAATAAAAAATATCTTAATTTGTGTTCTGAAGATGAATGAAGGTCTTACGGGGTTGGTACAACATGAGGGTGAGTAAATACTGACAGAATTTTCATTTTTGGGTGAACTATCCCTTTAAATGGAGTTTATTGAAATAAAAAAAACGAGGTAATACAATGAAGGAGATTGGTTTAATGAAAAGAAACTCACAATATTATATTACCTGAACCACAGTAATTATCTAAGTTTTTTTGACAAAAGATAAAAAGTTGTGATAACATATCATGAAAATATTTTTTACAGTGATTGTACAATAATATTTACATTTGTTTATATTTACACATCACTTATATTTCATTTAATAAGAACACTATTTCATTTGTTTATCTAAATTTTTAAGATAAAAAATTAAATAAATGGAAACAAATGAGACAAAGATATAATAAAAAATGATAGACATGTATAAATATGAAATGACAAAGACTATTTGTTGAGAAATAATTGGCAAATTTAAGCAAAATGTGAGAAATTACTAAAATCTCTTTTGAAACTCTAAAAGAGACAAAAATTTTAAAAGCATAAGACTTTAGAAAGATTTGAGGAGAAACAGTTGAGGTATTTTGAAATTTGATATTTCCTTTTGAAAGTTAAATAATACACACACACGCACACACAAAGCCTCACCCACACACATTTCTCAGAGAGCTGCAAGTTTTTCACCGCCTACAACAGAATTGAGTTACTGTATAAAAATGGAACAGAATGGATTGAACCATCATTCAGGTTAGCAGAGCCGAGGATGTGATTCAGTGTTCATTCAAAGATCTGCAGGACTATTGTGCTTCACAGTCCATAGTCCTGTCCAGTACATTGGATTGGATTCACAAAATTGGATTTAAATATATAATTCTACAGAGACAACTTTCGGCTCACTGTTGCACACAAGATTCGTGACCCACAGAAGCCTCCGGGGCGGCACAGTTAATTGCTCTGTATTTTTTAAAGCGCAGAGAATTGGACGCTAGATCCATCACTCCCTTTATGCCTCAGTCCTGTTGCCATGACGAGAGATTGTATCACACATTCTGCACACAGTGAAGGAAGCTGGAGTCTTGCATGTGCGCATCTGTTGAACCAACACAGTGTGTCTGTGTATGCAATAGACAGACGAAACACACACATGTAAGAGCTTTCTATGCAAATGGGGGACAGCAATGAATGCTGAGGTGAATGCCATTAAACTGTAAACATCTGTGCCCCTGCAATCAGCCGATTACTAGTCACAAGCAACTTCTCAAATACGACACAAAATATAGCCTTCACCAATAAACATAAAAACACACTTATATTTAACTTGAAGGGATCTTGCTGCTAGCTAGTGTTTTTCAATGCTAAGAATCAAGCTAGCAAGGTATGATCAAACAACAGAAGCCTATGATTTAAAGCACATAGCCTGTGATTAAAGTAGAAATAAGTTCAGAAATAACGTTCAGTCACATAACAGCAAAACTGGACAGGCAGAATCTCAAAACAAAGCAATGAGCCATATTAAATTGGTCATTTATCATTCTCATTATTATAAAATGATACATAGACAGACAGACAACAGATGGATGGATGGATGGATGGACAGACAGAAAGATAGATAGAAAGATAGAGTGAGTGAGTGAGTGATTGATTGATTGATTGATTGATTGATTGATAGATAGATAGATAGATAGATAGATAGATAGATAGATAGATAGATAGATAGATAGATAGATAGATAGATAGATAGATAGATAGATAGATAGATAGATAGATAGATAGATAGATAGATATTTTGAAAGCAAATAAATGATTCTCTCAGGTTACTTGTTTCATGTTGACTTTAAATGTAGTATTTTAAAATGAATTCTGCAAAATGAAGGTATATGCAACCATTAATAGCCAAATTCACATTTATTTCATTGAGTAGCATTCATTTATATTTTTTTTTATTGCATTTTGTGTGAAAATTTCGGATTTTCCCGTCTAAGGCACCAATTAATCCCTGACTGCATAAGAATAAAATGAAAAATAGGCTTATTGATTTATCAAAGTGACAAAAAGTCCATAAATTAAAATATAGAAAATAAATAAATTATACTGAGTGCCACAATAAGGACTTTCATTAAAACAGACTTCCCTTTTGAATACTGGACTTGCAACTTACTACAACCATTAGTGTTCTAGTATTTTTCAGTTTGTCCTCAGCGGCATCACTAAGTGCTGTGTGAAGCCGCTTTTGGAGAGTGTCAAATGCCCTTGGCACCCCGGTGTGGGCTTTTATATGGGACAGAGAAAAAGCTTTACTCTGAAAAGATTATGAGTAAAACAAGACCCTTGTGCATTTCTCAGCAGTAGCTGTTGACTCTGAAATCGCACACACACACACACACACGCATCCACATTCACGTCCACACTTGAACACCACAACACTTCCATGTCAGCGCTTTATATATTTTGTAACCCTCATTTATCTGCGATAATACCTGCCCACAGCCCCAGACTTCCACAACACATCAGGCTTTATTCTTGTAGCTATTTCTCTCTCCGTTGTATCTTTGTGGAATAAACCCGCCTCTTTTTTGTCTAGCAGGAATTTGGGATTTTGACCCAGAAGGACACACATTTCCAGCTGTGTGAATGAGGAAGAAAAAAATAACAGATAAAAGAGGACATTAGCTACATTGAGAATGCAGTTTACTGTAAAAAGTGATCAGTTGACTTCACTTCAAAAAATTGAGGAAATCCATTGCCTTAAAATGATTAAAGGGGTCATATATTAAAGGGGTACATGCACTTTTACAAGTTACTTGTTATGAAATGCGTGTTGGCAGTGCCTGTACACAACCAGCATATATAATGATAAAAATCCATCCAGTGTTGTTACTTACTTACTTACTTACTTTACTACTTTATTGTCAGACGAGTCTGAAATTTTTCTTGCATAACAGTGTATGTTTGCAACATCTAACATACATTCTACATCGACATACTCTTGTTTTTTTAATCTCCTTATGTTTTCCCCTGCCGCAAATCGAGACGTTCAACCGTGTGACGTCACGTGGTCGAACGCCCCTCCCACGGTTGTTGATTGACAGCAGCGTTTCAAACAAACCCACCCTGGGGTCCGTTTCTCGAAAGCATCGTTAGCCAACTATGGTCGCAAGTTCTGTCGTTATCTGCATAGTTTAACGAGTCTGTGTTTCCCGAAACCATCGTTCCAACGAACATTCGCAAATAGCATCGCAAAATTGGGTGGTTTGAATGACAGCTCTCGACCTGTGGTTAGAGGCATCGTTTCTATATTGCATGACATTTGGAGGTAATAAATCCTTATCTTGAGCAAAATAAGCAAGCTGACATTCAGTACAACCAGTGCCTTTTATTTAGAATACATACAAATGTAATTTACGCCTTTTAGTTTGTCAAAAGATTTGAAGTAACGTGTTTGAAGAGTGCGCATGTGCGAACGTGCTCTACGTATGTAAGATACGTAGCCAAATATTGAGTCTGGTAATAAAGCAAAACAATTGAGAACAATTAGAAATAGTCCTCAGATGACATGTCTGTAATTTATATAAAACAAATCTAGCGTTAATTGGATCTCAAACAGTTTAAATAAAAGTAGTTATTACTCCACCACGTGCGAACGATACTTTGCGACAGTGGGTTTCGGGAAACAGTCGTCACTAGCTAGTTGATTTTTCCAACGATGTATCGTACTATGGTAGTGAAGCAGCAAACTACGTCGGGAGTTTATACGGGAAATGCACCCCTGGGCGAGCTGTCATCATAGTCCGCTATGTTGATAAGCAGGAGCAGAATGGCGTCTAAGCGATTGTGGTGTTCTGTTCTTGGGTGTTATAACAAACAAAGAGTCATTTTGATGTTCCGACATCCGAACCACTGAAGACACAGTGGCTGAGTTTTGTTTTCGAAAGGAATATTCCCCACGGTCAATGTCAATGCTCTCATGTTTGAACGAATCATTTATCGTAGACTTCTTGACACAAGGGTCAGTATAAAGATAGTTTTTCTATTAAGCTGCTCCAGAAAAAATAATCGGTACCAACTATTTATGTTCCCTCTGCACCTCCAGAAGAAGTAAGTGTTAAATTGTATTAACCTTCATATTAATCTTTTCAAATTGCGGAAAAAAAAACATTGACCATTAACGTAACGGCCGCCAACTCTCACGCATTCAGTGTGAGACTCACACAATTGACCCAATTGACCTATGGCTAAGCCACGCCCTCAAACGCGATGAGCCAATCACAGTGCGCAGCAAGCCCAATACACTCGGACATTCTCTGCTTCCACATCCATTGAAATGAACAACAGTTAGTTAGTTTTCATTCGTTTTTAATGTCATTTTAAGTTTAAAATGGTCAAACGGTGTGCATGGGGTACATGCAACTCCGACACTAGTTTCCCCAGAGGCTGGGCGATGGTGTGTATTTTTTTACCCTTTCCCAAGCCACATCTTAACCGAGATAAGTGTCTGCTCTGGATTAAGTTACGTGGTAGACCAAAACACCAACTAAACGTGGATAAATTAAACAAGGATGTCTACATCTGTTCTAAGTTAAGTCAACGACGTATTTGAACGTTATCTTATTTGAACGTAAAAGTTAGCCTAACTTTAAAAAACGTTGACGTTAGCTTCTAGCTGCCTTGTACATCATGTCACTTAGCTTCATTAACGTATCTGTAAATAACCGAGATAACAAATGTTAACAATATTGTGCTGAATGATTCATGTAAATACTGTAGCACCAAACAGTGATGGCAACGATATGCGGTTTATCACGTTTACCCTTTGACCTGTACATTTTTGCCTAGAGCTGAAATATAAACCTCCAATGCATAGTTAAGGCCCTTTTGGTGACTTCGAGATGATATATAATCTTTTTTTTCTCCAAAAATCAGTAATTGCCTCCTGTGAAATGTCTCTTACTGTGACACCTGCCATAGCGCCTGTCCACGAATGTTGACTGTTTGTCCGAGTTAGTGGAGTGGGCATGGCTTAGCCATAGGTCAATTCTCACGCGCTCATGCGCCGCACACCCACGATTTCTCACGATGAAGTGTCAACCCGGTCGGTCAAATGCCTGAAAGATGAGTTTATCTATAGATCTACATTTTGAGCAACTCGTGATTGACTAGTTATACCACAAATTAGTTAAAATTCCTGTACTCTAGAGCGAGCGTGCGATACCGATATTGTGCTCCAAACCACGCACTCAAGCAATGGCAGAGAGGTAAGCCAGAGACCTTGCGTGTGCTAATGCACGTAGGCTACTTCATAAAATATAAAGAATAAAGAAGGCTTAATTACTTATTACAATAACTAATGTTTTCACAGTCAGTAATTCATACTGTAAAATAGTTCATTCGCTGTTTCAGGTTCCTGTTTGTTTAAAATAACAAACCTGTTCACCTGAAGGAACACTCCATGAAGTGCTAATCCTGTCATAGCTTTTTGGTACATAATAGTTACCGTTGAAGCAACGCGCATTTCAAAAAAGCAAGGCGCTGGAGAGCACAATTCGTTTGAATGCAAAATAGATTTTTACTGCTAGATGGCAGCAATTCCTACATATAGACCCTTTAATTGTCGCACTTCTTTGCAGATGGCAAGTTTTACTTACTCAAACATGTTCTGAGGGCGGAAAGGAAACTGATTGGTTTACAGTTTCAACCAATGAAACTGAAGCTAAGGCGGGGTCAAGACGTTTGAACGTGCGGAGGGATTAGTTCGGCTTTGAGGATTCAGATGGCTCCGGGAAAACAGATGTTTTACTCCAGTTCAAACCATAGGTTCAAACTGATACAGTTGCACAGATGTGTCCTCAGAGACTGCCACTACCATTCTTTCTCCAAAATATACCCTCAACTGTTGTCAAGGTAACAATCCACTTGTGTTGTGTTGAAAAGAGGGCGGGGCGAGCGAAACTCATTATCATTTAAAGGCATATGCACTGAAACAGCGTGCTAAAAACAGAGCCGTTTTTGACTAGTTAAAATAGTGTTTTCTTTAAATACTAATGAGAATTTTTAATAAAAGTATATTACAAAGTTTTCATTTAGACCCTAAACATTCATATTGACTGTACAAAAATGGCATCATATGACCCCACTTCATGCATAAGTGAAAACAAAAAGTTATGTGGAATTGTCAAATAGAAAACAGTTTTTTTATTATTATTATGTAGTAATATTTCACAGTGTAACTGTTTTACTATTTTTTTTTATCAAATAAATGTGGCCTCGGCGAGCATAAGAATCTTCTTTCAAAAACCCAAATTTTGAATGAAATGCAAGGCATCAGTATATTGCAGACATACAAAGAAAATGCTATACTGCAAACTGTTTGTAAGTATGCTATTCTGAACACAGAGTGCTTGTGATGCACACAAACCATCCAAAAACATTTTCAATCTGTCACACATAATACACAACACTCACACTGAATGAGGTCTGCATTACTCTTCAGACGGTAAACATCCGGCGTGTGTGTGGGTGTGATATGTGTGTATGAACACACCTTGTTCAGGTAACAGTGTGAGGTGGAAACAGTCCATCAGCACACAGACAGAGAAGTGATGATGTATTAGTACTGTTGTATCCTGTCTCAGTGTGTGTTAGAGTCAGTGGCATATATCACTTACTTGAAGCTACCATGGTATTATTATATAATAGCTTACATTATTATGTACTTAGGGCTATATTATAGTTGCTAAAATAGCTTAGCTAAATAATGTTTTATACTTTTTTAAAAATAAGGAAATGTTAACATTCCGAAACAATGATTACACAAAATGACAGAACAGGCCAGAAATAACACTAACAGACTAAAAGATTGTATATTGTCCAATGAAAAACAAAGTGTGTTTTGACAAGAAGACTGACAAGAATTCCCTCGAACGGCAAGTTACTATGTACTGTATATTGGAGTGTGTGTGTGTTTGAAATGCTGTAATGTATCATCGTGTGCATGCTGACAAAAAATTAGAAAGATCCTTCAAAGGTTCTTAGGTTTAGTCCTTTTCATTGGGTACTTTGGAGTATTTTTAGAGTTTCTAAGGATAAATGAAAAGGTCAGTAAAAAAGATTTCCTTATGACATCAGTCATTACAGTATTTAGTAATACTTTCTAATATAAATCTTTATTTTTTAGGAGTGAATAATATTCAAACGAGTAAAACAGCTATACATTCTGGAGGAATCTGATGAATAAAATGAAAGAGACTTGTAGAATTNGTCTGATTCGATCGATCCCCTCATTACCACTCAGCAAATGCTTTGGTTATTTTTTGCTGGTTACATTCGGAGTTGAGTTACTAGTAAGTGCTTGGTAACTTGTTTACTTTGTGCAAGACTGTTATCAGCGTTTTATCTATTTAACGATTAGAACGGTTTAGCACTCTTGTAAAGGGGTGTTAACTATTTCACTTCTCATTTCTCATCTGCTGGTGTTTTTTAGGTCATGAGCTTTTTCTATCGGGCCATGTTAACCTTGGGGCTGGTGGTGCTGGCACTGTGGCCTATGGTTTCCGGCCTCTATATAAAAGCAAAGGTAAGGTGAACGTGACCTTAATGCCTCCTCTGAAATGAGGTTTTTGAAAGGTGTGTTTTTGAGGTCTTGTTCTTTATGCTGCTTTAGTTCAGGTCACTGAGCTGGATGTTTAGCTGTCTCTTTCTTGCCGTGTTTCCACTGTTGCCTGTGGTGGGACGGGAACCCAACATTAACTATGTGTGAGCACTCTTTGTTCACTTACTGTCATACACAATCACAATCATCTTTCTTCTTATAGACTGTTAAAAACACATTTGTACTTCCTTATCGGTGATACTGAATGACATCAGAAAAGTTCATCTACTAAATTTGATGTATTGTACTGCAGAATTTGTGCTGGGGTGCTGACCCTCTTCAATTTGTCCTCATACCTCTGTTCATCATGGAGATGCTCTCCTCTGATCCGAAGGGATCGTCAGCTGTTCATCTTCCAGGTCATTTTTGCCTTTCTTTTCATCCTTTTTCACTGTTCAAGGACATTTTCACCATAGAAATTTTGGTGACCATCTAAATATGCATGCATTTCTAGATGGCGCAGGTGGTGCTGTGTGCTTATACCGTGACCAGCACCCACTCCAGTCTGCAGGTGAAGCAAGGCCTGCCACTCTTCAACCAGCTCGTAAGCTGGCTCACGCTAGGTAGTTTACCCAAAAATGAATCATTTGAACGCATCATTTACTCACCCTTATTTTTTTCAAACCTCTATGAATATGATCAATGAATATGTGCAAAAATATTATGAGTAGGAAGTAATGCAGGTTTGGAACGCCTTGAAAGTGAGTAATGTGCCAGTAACCTATGAACACTATTTATGTTACCCCAGCTTAATATGCATAGACAACTTTAAATAAACTGTGAAGAGTCTTTAACCAATGAATTGCACTTCTTCTTTTCATCCATCCTGTTTGTACTTCATCCCCTATTCTCTCACACTTTCTTTTTTAGTTTCCTCATTTTTGATACCATTGTTGAGTTCAACCAGGCTCTTTCAGAGATTGCTGAGTATCCTGATGTCCTTGGTGTGTGTCTATCTTCTTCTGAGCACTGGGTAAAATCCACTGACCGAATGCTAATCTTATCAGCAGGTTTTACCTGTCAGGGCTAAATTTAACAGAAGTTCAGCCCATGATACATTTAGTCAAATTCTGCTATTGAGGTTTTCTGTCTTAATGGGATTTGAAAGGAAACCACACAGTGCTTGCAGTAAGCAAATAAATTGCAAGGGTTTTCAATTCAGCCGCTGACTGGTTTAAGATTGTTTATATTCTTTTTTTTTCTTCTTTTTTTTCAAGCTTTTGTCATTGACAGGGTTTAGACAAAGTTGGCCAGTCTGAGCTAAGACAGATTGCCCAGATGGCTATTCTCCACAGAATACACACTAAAGTAAATTATCACAATATATATCACAAATAATTACCACACAAGAAGGAGGGGAGGAAAAAAGTAATAATAATAATAATAATAATAAAAAAAAAAATAAATAAATAGACAATATATTCTAAATAGTTATTTTAATTCATCAAGAATTAAACACACTGCCGTTCACAAGGTTGGGGTTGGTAAAAATAAAGTAAAAAACAGTAATATTGTGAAATCTATTTTAAAAAGCTAATACTCTCCAGGCTTCAGTGTCACATGATCCTTCAGAAATTATTATAATATGCTGATTTGGTGCTCAATTTCTTATTATCAGTGTTGAAAATGGCTGTGGTGTGTTATATTTTTGTGAAAACCGATTATTTGATGAATAGAAAAGAACAGAATTTATTTGAAATATAATTTTTTTGTAACAACATTATGGAAAAGTTTGATTTTTTTTTTTTAAACAATTTGCTTTTTAAACATTTTTTATTTATAGTAAATGAACATTTTTAATTGAAAGCTCATATTCTAATAGCTCTTTGTGTTCTGTGAAGGTACGAGGCCCTTTTTCCTCCAGTGCTGTCATGGCTCATGTTTGCATGGATCAACATTGAGCAGGAAGCAATGACCACTCAGGAAAGTTCATATCGAACTGAGGTAATACCGTCCCTTCCTCTAACGGGATTCTTGCGGCTCATAACAGAAATAGCCTCATAAATGTGGTTGTAGATTATTGCACTGTGTATCTTGCTCTTGTCTTCTTAACCACTTCCATGGATGAATATATCTGTTCTCTATAAACTTGTGTAACACAAGAGTAGTACAGCTTTGTTTCTCTTTACTGAATGTACCGTCTCCTGTTTTCTCAGCTCTCCAGCATTGATTTTGCTGAAAATATCGACATCACCAAAATCAGGCAGCTGAGACTGGATGACATTAGGAGATCTTACTTTTTTGCATCCTTTGGAACTACAGACTATTTGATTTGTCTTATGATTGCTGATATACAGTATTTAGTCCTTAACTGTTTAAACAGGTGTTTTTCATAATAACTGCATTCTTCGGCTGCGGTAACATTGCGTCCATCAACAGGTAAGCTGCTTGAAGAACTATAGAGCTATAAAATAGACTTGAATATAATTATGCCTTGATCTACCCTCACAGTTTTGACCCAGCCTCAGTTTACTGCTTTCTGACCGTCTTCAACCCGTTCATCATGGGCGGCCTGTTAATGTGGAAGGTAATGGTACTTGCTCAACCTGCAGTTTTAAACTGATACTCCTTTTTTTATTTAGTGCACAACTTTGTTTAATGCATCTTTCCACTGTTTCATCCTCTTTCAGGTTTTAATTCCATTCATAATTGTGATGTGCACATTTGAAAGCATTCAAGTGTCAACGCAGCTCTCATCGCGAAGGTACTTTGCACTGCAGAATAATTGGTAGAGCAGGAAACCAGCAGATCTTGCTCTGTTTGTGTACATTCGCTGCAAACTGACCACTTCTTATAATTGTGCTATATTTAGAGACATTGAAACATTGAGTAATTCTAAAGCTCCATTTCTTTCATAAATGTTGTAAAACAGGGGGTTTTTTTACAGGACAATTTTCATTTGTGAACATGGAATTTTGCCCTAGTGAAAAAAAGTGTTGTGTTATGTTTGAAATATATTCCCTTTTTCAATAGTACATTGCAAATATACCAACACATTTTTTTTAATCATATTTAAATATATTAATAGTATATTAGCATCATGCTTCACAATACAACTTTTAACACACTTTAATATAATTGTACTTTACTTTATTTTCTAATTTTTTTCACATTTTTTAAAAGTGAATTTGAAGCTTCATTGAAACTGCAATTTGGACCTTCAAACCGTTGTACGCCAACACTATATAGAGAAACATCCTAGAAGGTTTTCGTCAAAAAACCTTCTTTTCGAGCGAAGAAAGAAAAACATGAACATCTTCTTGGCCATGTTGTACTAAAATGAGAGAACGTATTTTTAAGTTGTGGCCATGATACAGTATATTGTGCAGGGCTCCATATGTTTTGTATATATAAAAAAGTTATATATATATATATATATATATAAAAGTTCACATAACATTTGCATTTGTTTTCTAGCCTTTTCCTCGTTGTGCTTGTCATCTCAGACTTGATGGCACTGGTAAGCTTAGCATTGAGAATAAATTAAATCTTTTATTGTTGCATAAAATACTTATTTATATTAACACATTCATTTTATTTTAATATTTCTTTTCTTTTTCACCAGCACTTCTTTTTCTTAGTAAAAGATTATGGAAGCTGGCTTGACATAGGATCTAGGTGGGTTAACTGTATTGTTTTAGCTTCCAACAGAAGCTCACTTTTGGTCATTGCATGTGTATAAATTCACAAATATGATACAAAATTTCTTCTGTTTTGCAGTATTAGTCACTATGTCATCGTAATGTCCATGACCATCTTCCTCATGTTGCTGAGTGTCATGACGCACATTTTAACCTCCAAGAGAATCATCGTTGGACAGAAACGAAAGATGCACTTTAGGTGATGATGACCTCACACCTGGACCTCCATCATAATCTTTACAAGGTGCAAAAAAACAAACAAATATCCACAGTAATATGACAGATGTTCAGCATTGGGTTTTCCTGTTTCTGAGAATTTCTTAACATCAATATTCAGTATATGACTCTGCATTTTAAACTGTAAGAGGAAGACTCTGTTTGGTATAACTAAAAAGAAAAGTGATCTGTTATTAATACATTTATTTAATTTTAGAGGTATTTTAGTTGGAGACTTTAGGGGGGAAGACTCCCCAAGACAGGCACGGGTTAAAGGGAAAGCACTTGATTATGTACTGTATGATTTATGCCAAAGTAGAGGAATGTTACTGTACTGATATGACAGCTGATTTGAACTGGGATCTAATTCTCAGGTGGTATTATGGTAAATGTGTAGTTTTATAATACTGTATTTTTGTCTAAATAATTATTTATTTACAATAAACCTTTATATTTAATGTCATGCCATGTGTTAAATAAAATCCACAAAAACACTGACCTTGATTTTCATCAGCACCACGTTCAAATAAAATACATAGGAAGGATACATTACTTTTCAAAATGTGAGGGTCAGTTAGGGTAAAAGACAGATTAAATTGATTTCAATTTAATAGAAATCAATATAAAAATTTTAATTTTTAAATACATGCTGTTCTTTTGAACTTCATATATTGATTAAAGAATCCTGAAAAAAAAATGTATTAAGGTTTCCCACACAAATATTAACCAGCACAACAGTTTTCAACATTGATAATAACAAGAAATGTAGCACCAAATCAGTATATTACATTTTGTTTTTAAGTTTAAAGACACCATGTGCTAAAAATTCAGCTTGGCCGATACAGGAATACATTTACATTTAGTCATTTAGCAGACGCTATTATCCAAAGCGACTTACAACTGAGGATTAAACCAAGGGAGTCATCGTGAAGATGCAAAAACAACACAAGAAGTGCTCAAAATACAAAGTTCAGACATAGCTCGGAATAGCATATCAGATAAAAAAATGTAAAAGCATGTAAAAACAAATCTAATTGACCCTAAACTTTTGAGCAGTAGTGTAGTTTTAACATAACTGCCATTTATAGCATTAACGTGCATTACATTTTAAAATGCAACATTATGGCACATTCATCATTTTATTTACATGTTCTCTTACATAAATAGCCTATTTATATTTTGTTCAAAATTGAAAAATCAATATCCATTAATAACTCAATACTTAAGCACCACCCTAACCCCCCTCCACCTCACCCACCCACTTGCAGCTGTGACAAACATGCAGGGGAAAACCACAAACCTCACTTTTGCAGCTGAAGTCTAGACACAAGAATGGAGTGATATTAAGGCACTATTACAATACATTCAGACTATAAAGAACAGAAATACTAGGTGGCTGTGATCTTGCAGTATTTCATCATAACTTGAATATGAAAACAACAACAGTGCGGTTGGTTAGTAATAGGACTTGCTCTGAAACACCCAGAAGTCCGGCCTCCTCATCGAGAGAATGTGCTAAAATAGTGGTTGCAGTCAGAAGCAACAAGCACATTACCTTACTTCCTCAACTTATCCGGATCTTCAACTTCGGTACGTGTCTTGCTTCATAATCTCTCATTAAGCTGTTCATTTTGATTATATAAACTCATTTTTACATTTTAAATGCACTGTGTTGTAAAATATAGCTGAAATGTCTAGCTTTCAGTTGTTTTTCAGAAGGAAAAAGAACCCTCAGAAATGTATAGTGGTGTGGCACATTCAAATTGGCTAAAATTATGATTATTTTTTATATGTACACAAAGTATTCAAAATTAAGGTTTAAATGAATGCAATGAGGGATGACAATATATTGACATGTACATTATAGGCCTGTTTCTACAGAACACTGCAAAAACACTGCAGTAAGGTCCTATTGGTTAACATTAATGCATGTTAACTTACAACAATGAGCAATACATTTGTTAGTATTTTTTTAATCTTTGTCAATGTTACTTAAAATACAACGATTCATATAATTGATCTTAGCTGCAGGTCAGTAAATAATAAGATTTGGTTTGAATACTGTATAACATTTTGAAAGTAACATTAAGATTAATTCATGCTTTTCATAGGCCAAAGGCTAGACGTTTTTTTTTTAATAGTTAGTTCATGTTAACTAAACGAGTTTGTTAAAAAATGGAACCTTATGGTAATACTGAATAGAAAACAAAACATGTATGGCTTTGCTCTATGTCTTTTCCACGTATTAAATGACTTCATCACACTTGCCTTTGACTTCCAGTATGTTTTCTCTATGGGGACCATGAACACCACCATGAACACCACCATGAACCCCACCACCACCAGCCTCGCAGTGGCGTCCACCCCTCCAGTCCACTTCGACATGCCCTACAGAATCGCCCTGATAGTCATCTACTCTGTCGTGCTTCTGGTGGGCATCACAGGCTTAGGTTTCATGATCAGCTTGTTAAAAGCCAACATTCGCTCGTTAACCACCATCGCCTTCCTGAACCTGATGGTCGCACACTTTCTGTTCCTGCTCACCGTGCCATTCAGAATCTACTATTTCGCGTTTCTATCATGGAACCTGGGTAAGGGGATGTGTAAACTGGTCAGCGCCATGGTGCATATCCATATATACATGGTGTTTACCATATACGCCATCATACTTACCCTTCGTTTCCTGCAATTCTACAAGAAAACGCAACGGACTGAGTTTTACAGGCGGCTGCACGCGCTGGGCGCGAGCGCTTTAGTGTGGTTCCTACTTCTTCTCATCATGCTACCCCTCGTGTTGCTTCAATACGGACAATCTTCCAAAAGCAATAACGTCAACACAGAAAACGAGTGCTTCAAATTTCAGAATATGTTAGATGACACATCCGTCTACGCCCTGAACATGATTCTATCTATCTTTATTATCAGTGTGTCGGGTCTTCAGACCTGCATCCAGGCATTCATCTTGCACGTCATGATACGCAAGTACGGATCGGCCAGTCGTTCCCAGCAGGAGTTTTGGGTCCAAATAAAAAACCTCATCTTTGTACTGATCTTGCTCACCTGCTTGGTACCATACCACCTTTTTCGGCTGCATTACTTGAACAACGCTACTGATCTTCATGCGATAAATGAGGTGTTTCTGGCCATCACGGGACTGACATGTTTCGACATGCTAACGTTCACAGGGAAGAACGTGTGTCAGGTGTGCTGGCCCTAAAGATGTGGATATTCTCCACATCATTGACCATTAATCAGATTCTCTCCACAGCTGTGAAAATGGACTGTTCATACAGAAAACGTGTTATAATAATAATAGCCAGCGGTTACAATAAAGGTAGGCTAAATGAGCACCCCAGCTGAAAAAAAAAAAGTTTATTTATGAAAACGTTATTTATGAATTTCAAACATTAACTTCCAGTTTTAAAACAAATTTGAAACGAGTTTTTATTGGTGTTGCTAACATTTTGGGAACTGTTTGTTCTATTTTCGTTTGGATATGTTGCAAACATTAATTTCGAATGTTCTCTGAACGTTGTGAAACTATTATCATCTAAAAAACAGACTGTTCAACTAAAGTGTTTCACAAGAAAACCGTGACATTACAGTAGGATGACTATATCAGGGCCTAGGCAATTACTATACGCCTATAGCTGTTATATAAATAAATGGACAGAAAGACAGCTCCTTATATGCACTTTAAAAAAGTACAACTACCGTAAACGTAGGCTAAATTTAATTTTAAATGGGCATAGGGATTGGTCACCACAAAAATAGAAACTCTGTCATCGTTTAGGCCGACTTTTCCTCAGGTTTTTCGAACAAACAGTGATGCGGCCCATGGTCATGGACTTCCAAAGTAAAAAAAAAAAAAAATGCAATGTAAGTCCAACTGTTTTGGACATGTTTTGGACATTCTGTTTTGGACATTTGTTTTGGACATTCTCCATATATCTTCTTTTGTGTTCAGGACAGGAGGTAAAAAAAAATTCATACAGGCTTGGGACATTTTGAGGGAGAGTAAATTTGATGACAGTGTTTTAATTTTTGGGTGAACTGTCCCTTTAAAATACCTCAACGTTTTTGTCCAGTTATTTAGGCCTATAACTTAACCAGCCGTAACAATTCGCGCGTCATACACCGATTTAGACGATTTAGACTTGTACAGAAGTCGTATGTATGAGTACACGTGGTTTTGTGTTCAATCAATGACTCGACCTATCATTGAAAGACAGAAAAATAGAGATTTGGCGCCCTCTTGTGGTAAACTTGGAGAACGTCGGAGGTTGGCTAGTTAAAAAGATAAAATTATAGTTCTGTAAAACAATATGATTTCGGCTTTTAGCGTTCAGCCTAATTGTTTATAAGCAGGCTTTAAAAAAATGTTTAATGAAAAAATACGAAAATCTCTGTTACATAGGATATGTATTCGTATTAGGCTAAACATTAAAGGCTAAATTCAAATTATTTTTCTTCTAGCCTTCGTAGCTTACTATTGCCCGTGTTCTTTGACGTCGTGAACGCACGCAAAGGAAACACGATTCATGTCTTCTGTTTTATTGGGGCTAGTTACTGTTTAACATCTCCACCCAACTTACAGTTTGTTTAGTAAATCGATCTAATGAGAGGCTCCCCCAACACCACCAAAAGTATTATCCAATGACATGTTAAACACTTCATGTAGCCTACTCGAAGTTGCCAACAGCGAAACATATTTATAAGCATAAAAGTTTGACCCATGTTCGTTTGGGTTTTGGTGGATTAATGCAAATCGTTGTTGGACGTGGAGAAGGTAAGACCTGATAGTTTTGAGTCGCGGTCATTGAATTGTGGGTCAGTTAAAGAAAAAAATAATCCGTTAAACCGTTTCTTTCTACATTTTACCTGAGAATGTTAGAGTTTAAAGAAGTCCTTACTACATGGGAAAAGAAAATATCGCTCGAGCGATATTGTCTGAACAGTCAGCCTGTGACGTCGACGTTCGAACTATCGTGTCTTTTTTTTATTTATTCTTGTTGACAAAAATGTAAAGAAATTTAATTTGTGTGCACAAATAAGCAGTGTCTATATTCATTACTATTTTTTTTATTGCTATAATAAATAAAAAAGGTTTAAAATAGGCTATACATTCGATTTATACATAATTACAATATTCATTTCCTTTCAATTCCTTTCAATCTTTGCTTTGTAAATAATTACTTTGCATTTTTCATGAAAATATTCCTTACTAGGCTTACTGTTATTATACGTAAATATGTATTATACGTAAGTCATATCAATGGACTTTTTAAATACAACTGAACGTAACCAACTACTGCGAGTTTTTCCCCAGTCCTCGGTTGATTTTTTTCTTCTAAGCAGTTCTAGTTTGACCTTGAATGTATTATGCTTTTGAAATGTTAATGTTGAGTATATTGCAATATGATTTTATGTTAAGTATTCATCTCTGTGCATTGGATATAGTGATGTAATGCAATGTATTGAAAATAGAGGGCAGAGATTAGATGCCCTCGTCTAACAAAACTCTTTATCACGTGAACATTTGAGCACTTCCTCCTTTTATCATTGTTTGTTGGAGTGAAGTTAAAATGTAACCTGTGTTGTGTTTCCTCCGAGTATTCATGTGCTTACTGAATCTAATGTTAAATAGTCTGATTTATTTAATATTTTGTTGTCTCTCTGTTTTTGTTGTAGGCTATATGTCTGTACAGTAATGGTCTGTTTGACTTTCTATAGTATATTTAAGTCAAGTTTAGTGTACAGAAAAATATAGATAGATATTCTAAAATTAAACAAAATGTTAGGGAAACTGAATGGCAAAGGATTTCACTGAAGTGATGTTTTTAAAATTATATTTTGACCAGAAACACTTGTTTGGTTTCCTTTATGGCTTTGCACATGCATTGTGGCTGTCGGTGCCTATTTTTTGGTGATGTTTTTATTCTAATTTTGTCAGAAACTTTTTTTTTGGTCAAGTAAACTGATATTTGTCCTACAAACGACTGCCATTTCTTTCCAAACCTGTATACAGTTCTTTCTTCTGCAGAACACAAAATTAGATATTTTGAAAACCACTGCGGCCCCATTGACTTTCATTGTACAAATAAAGTCATTTTTTTTTCAAAATATATCTTCTTTTGTGTTCCTGGAAAGGTGAGTAAATGATGACCGAATTTAGATTATTGTGTGAACTATCCATTTAAGAAAAAATGCCTCATCAAAATATTACATTCAATTGATTCTCTTAGTCTAGTTTAAATAACATGCAAAACAGAATTTGTATTAGACAAATTTAAATTATGTCTATAATAATCATATTTGCATCAGAGCTGCTGTAACTGAGATATCTAGTTTTTAAAATATTGTGTAAATTTAATTCAACATTAACATAAAAAGCATAACATTTATGCAACTTGCAAGCTGAGAAACCCCCCATCGATTTACAACATCTTGTTTACAAAAGGAAGGTCCTAGTTCTCCTAATGAACATTTATAAATTTATTGTCCTGCAGTATTTGCCATATTTTTGTTAAGGGATGGTGCATTATTTTGTAAGTCATTTTGCCTGAAAACAGGGCCTGCACCAATGCAACCTCTGGTTTCTCTCTGGAACAAATGGGGAAAACAGTTATCTCTTCATCCTTCTGATAAGTATAGGATAAGGAGAGAAGATAAGTTCTGTGGAAGGAGGTGAGGAGTCTTGGACAAGGCTCCTCCCTTGTCTTAGAAGATGACAAATCAGCATTCTGAAGAGATGGTCAACCTAAGGCTGCTCTCTCCTAGAGACACTGTCCCAGGACGAATTTAAGTAGAGATAGCAGGGAAGGGATGAAGTTTTCACCAAGTCCTCTCCCTAAATCCTTGTTGGACATGGATGTAGCCAATTACTGCGAGGGCCTAGACCCGACCTATAGCACACTGGGCTTTGAGAATGCAGAGGTGCTTTATTGTGGTGGTGAGTGCTGTGCATTTTGTATAAAAATCCGTTTTTGAAGCAGATGGTGTTGATGCTGCTTGGACTAATCATTCTCGTCCAATAGTGCTGTTACTCTACTGTTAACTGGATTAATGTCAGTTCTAACTGAGGTGGGTGTTAATTTGGCTTGGTATGACTGGAGGGGACAGGCGCCATGTCATGGCTGGTTTAATAGCTGTCTGAACTGTCTGGAATGATTTGTCCCAGCAGAATCATTTACCTCCTAAAGGAGATAACTGTTAGCTAACTATTTTGAAAGTCTTTCCATTCAGTTTAAAATTCAACAGAGGGTTTCACTCAAATCCTGAGAAAAGAGTTCTGAGTCTCAGGATTAGAGACAGGGTTCTCCTTGGGTTGATAGGTTTGGAAAAAAGACAAAACGGGATATACTGTTTTTAAGTTTTAGTTTAAAAAAATTTGTACAACTTCAATGTTAAAGGGATAGTTCACCCAAAAATAATGTCATCACAGCCTCACGTTGTTCCAAACCTGTACATTTCTTTCTTCTGCTGAAGATATTTAGAAGAATATCAGTAACCAAACAGTTGATGGACTTCCATGGAAGTCAATGGGGCCCATAAACTGTTTGGTTACCCATATTCTTCAAAATATCTTATTTTGTGTTCAGCAGAAGAGATAAATTCATACAGGTTTAGAACAAGTTGAGGGTGAGTAAATGATGACAGAATTGTCATTTTTGGCCAAACTACCCCTTTAATTCAAAGCAGGAACAACTAAGAAAGGCGTGAAAGGATCCCAATTTTTTTTTTTTTTTTTGGCTCTTATTTAAAGAAATGCGTAAAAGTACATTTACTGAAGGGGTGGCATCATAGGAAATGTCTTTGTCAAGGGTGAAATGTTGCCACTTCTAACTTTTAAACATGTCTCTGGTTATCCATGGTTCAAATCTTTAGCTATTTTGTCATCACAATCTTATGTGGTTTATCCAGTTCAGTTCATTAATCTAATCCTAGAATAAAATTGCTGTAGAGATTTCCCAGTTATCTTTACAGTCCTTTACAGTACATCTAAACACAGAGATAGAGAAAGGTCATAAAATATCGGTTAGAGAAACTATTTAAAGGCAAACACACACTCTCTGATTTTTACACTACTGAATCATCCTCAACCAGTCCAGTCCCATGGAAAGCATGCTGGGAACTGAAACTTGTCTAAAGAATAACAAAGAATAAACTAATGTTTTACAAATAGTGAAATTAAGCATTGTGTTGCATTATTAAAATGCACGAAAAGCATTCGGCATTCGCATATCCTTTTCTTCATCCTATCCTTAAATGGATAGTTTACCCAAAAAAGAAAATACCTTCATTGTTTACTCACTCTCATATTGTTCCAAAACAGTATGATTCTCTTCCTTGTGTGAAACACAAAATAATATATTTTGAAAAATATCTTAAATGTTTTTTTTTTTTAAATCCACATTATGAAAGCCAATGATCACCAAAAATGTTTGGCTACCAATATTCTTCTGGATATCTTCTTTTGTGTTCTGCAGAAGAAAGAAAGTCATGTTTTAACCAACACAAGGGTGAGTAAATGACAGCATCTTAAAGGGATACTCCACTTTTTTTTGGAAATAGGCTTATTTTACCACTCCCCCAGAGTTAAACAGTTGGGTTTTACCGTTTTCGAATCCATTCAGATGATTTTCTGATATTTAGAAGAATATCAGTAACCAGACAGTTTCTGGTCTCATTGACTTCCATAATATATATTTTTTCCTATGGAAGTCAATGAGACCAGAAACTGTCTGGTAAGTAATATAATTCTAAATATGAGAAAATCGGCTGAATGGATTCGAAAACGGTAAAACTCAACTGTTTAACTCTGGGGGAGTGGTAAAATAAAAGTGGAATATCCCTTTAATTTGTGGGCAATCTAACTCTTTAATTAAGCCCATAAAGCCATGAATGGAGTGAAATAGTTTTCCAACCCATTTTTCATTGTTTCATTTTAAGTTCATAGCACCTTACTCTGAAGCGAAATACTTCAAACAGCCGCCAGGATGAAATTGCCTCTCTGCGACCACACATGCCCTTGGCATTCAAATGATGTTTTATCCTGAATGAGAAGGAATCACTTTGGGAATAAACTAAATCAGAAGAGATTGCTTTCAACCCACATTAACATTTATCCATGAGATGTCAATCTCCATTGAGTATCTGTCTATGCGATAAAACAGAGGCTAATCCTAATTAAGTCTGTCCTACAACAGCGGGAGGCTCCAATCAGTCTCAGCTCATAAAAGGCTAAAGTCCCCTGCTGCATTTCTTTTGTTGAAATGTTATGATTTTGAATGCACAAAGGAATGATTGATTTCTCATCCTTGTCTATATGAACAGAAGGGTGCCACTCTCTGTTGCATTAGAAGGTCTTTTAGGATGAGCATCCTTTGTTCACTTATGCAGAACTCTTCCTTATTCTCCTCATTAGTAGTTATGATCGAGAGACCGAATAAAAAGACCTAGATTTGATAGACGTGTCGTGTTGTAGCTTTATGAGACTCACTTGGCTCTGTGTTTGTTAGTCTAGCTTGAATTAGCATGCTTAGCTTAGCATTCAGAAGCTTATAGCAGCAGTAGATTTCTACTATTTAGTGTGTTCTGGATGTACAACAGACATGATTCTCTACTTTAAAAGATCCAAAAGCCACCCAAGTGAATCAACCAAAGTGTTCAGGTGGCAATAACAGTTTCAGGATGATCTCAATCCTGATTGTCTGTGTTGTTGTTCACAGAAAACATGCCGACAGAGCCCAGCATCAGTCAAGGAGAAAATGGCGTGAGCTCCAACT